TTGAAAGCAGTGAATGAGCTTTATCATTTAGGGCTCTCTTGTACCATCCTTTACAAGCAGCATCATTCCTTAAAATATTGCCCCAAGGAGGGATTCCTGTTTTGCAGACAGGGAAAATGACACAGAAATAAGCATCCTGGTTGGAGCCGTGGGTGAGAGAAGCAGGCGCAGGAGGAAACCGATCTGCTTCCCCTGGCCCTGCCTCCTCCATCTGTCTTCGCGGGCAGCGCGCGGCCCTTGGCAGCCAGGCCCAGGCCGTCCTCGCCGACTGTTCCAGAAGCCGCCGGGGCGCACGCACCGCCGCAGGCGCAGCCCAGGTCCGGGCGCTGCAAGCGCAGCCGGCGACGAGGCCGCCCCGTGCCCGGGAGGCCGCGCGCAGCCGGGGCTCAGGGACAGTCGCTGCCAGCCGCGGCCACGGCCGAGACGCCCCCGGCGTGGACGGAACCGGGCTCGACCCAGCCAGGCGCGCCAGCTGCCGGCCCGAGCGCCCGAGAGAAGGCGCCGTCCGGCGAGCTCCCCCCGGCGGGGCGCGCGGCTGTGCGCCCGGGGCGCAGGCCCGGGGCAGGCGGGGACGCGACGTCGGCGTCAACCCCGGCCGGGGCGCGGGCCCGGGACACCGCGGGCGATGCGGCTGGGCCGGCCGGGCCGGGCCGGGCCGCGCGCACGGAGACCCGGCGGCGCCGCCGTGGAGAGGGCGGGAGCGCGCCCCGGGGCGCTCGGCCCCGGGGAGCCGGGAAGCCGCGGGGCCGGACGGGCAGGTGGACCCGCCGCGCCCGGAGCCGGGCCGGGCCGGGGAGCAGGCGAGCGTGGGGCGCCCCCTCCCCCCACGCGTCCCCCGCCCCCCCACCCCCCCACGCCCCCACGCCCCCACGCGCTTCTGTCAAAGCCGGCCCCATTCCAGCCGCCCCTCCCCCTCGCGGCTGCTCGGGCCCCCGACGGCTCCCGCGTGCCGGGCGGGCGTCGGGGAGCGCGGGCGCGGGAGGCGGGAGCCCCCGACCCCGGCGGCCCGCGGGGCGCTCCCGGAGGAGCCCGCGGCTCTGCCGCTTTAAGGCGGGAGTGGGCGTGGCCGCGGGCCGGTGACGCGCGGGGGTGGGGCCGGGGCGTGTCCATGCAAAGCAGGGGGCGGGGCGGGGCCCGGCGTGAGTGCGGGGGCGGGGCCGGAGGCGCGGCCGCGGGGGGCGGGGCCGGGGCGGGGCGGGCTCCGGGCGGCCGAGGGGCGGAGGCGGCGGCCGGGTCGGTACCACCGCGCGGGGGGGCACCGGCGCTCGGGGGGCCGGGCCCGCGGGCGGCGCGGCGGCGCGGGGCGGGGGCCTCCGCGGCGGCGGGGCGGGCGGGCGGCCGGGCGGGCGGCCGGGCCTCGGGGCGCGGGCGGGCGGGCGGGCGGGCGGGGCGGGGCGGGCGGCGGGGCCGGAAAGGGGGAGGCGCCGGCGGACAATGGGGCCTGTGTGTGCCCGCGGCGCGGGCCGCCGCCGCCGCCGGGGGGAGACGCTGCGCCGCCGCCGGCCCCGGCCCCGGCCCCCGGGGCTGAGCGCCCCCACCCCCGCCCGCCGGCCGGGTGAGTGCGCCGCGGGGGGCCGGGGCGGGCGGGGGCCGGTCCGCGTGTCCCGAGCTTTGGGGGGCCGGGGCGCCCCGGCGGGGAGGGGGCAGGGCGGGGGCGGCCGCGGACGGGCGAGTTGGGTCCCGGGGAGCCGCGGCCCGCTGGGGCGCCCGCCCGCCCGCCGCTCCCCGGCGCTGGGGAGAGGCGCCCTCGGGGTGCCCGAGGGGGCGCCCCCGGTGTGGACGCGCCGGAGGAGGCGGTGGGACGGGCCCGGGTCCCGGGATGAGGGGGGCGTCGCAGGGGCGAGAGGAAGAGCTGAATGCGGGGATGGGGGCTGAGTTTGGAGGGGTCCCCGAGACCCGGCGATGGATGGGGAGGTTCAGGGGACTCTGCAGGCCACTGACTTGTTGAAGGAGGGGGAGCTGGGGAGCTGGGCTTGCTGCAGAGGGCTCCAGCAGGTGAGGTGGCCCGTGGAGGTCACTGAGTCATCGTGGGGGTCTGGGCACCCCAGGGACTTCTGAGCGGAGCCCTGGTCACTGGCCTTTGAAAGTTGCAGACTATTAAGATGTCAGTGGCCAGTGCCGGGTGAGCCTGGCGACATGGAGCTTCCTGAGGAGAGCAGCGGCGGGGCTGGCTGTCGTGTTCCGGGGGAAGGGCCGGAGGCCTGCAGCGGTGGTGCTGGGGGCCTGCTGCAAGCCTGCCAGGCATGCGGGAGGCCTGCAGTCCCTCTCCAGGAGCCCAGCCTGCAGGAGGGAAGGAAGAACAGGTTTTAAATGATGGAGAGGAGTGTCTGAGAGCTTAAATTGTGGCCCAGTTGGGGACTAATAAAGTTATTAGAAACAAGGCGAAGAAATGGACATAACTATCTCCTGCGGAGAGAGACTCCAAGGGAGCAGAACTGGCACAGAGTTCTACTTGGGTTGAGGCAAACGTGGGAGCTCCCTGGCCATGACTTGAGTGGGAAAAGGATGGGGTGACTGTGCAGGGATCCGTGTGGTCGGCGGTGCGTGATGGAGAATCTGTTAGCCTTGGGTATATTTGAGAATTAAGTGTTCACTCTCGGTTCAGAGGTTTGGGCTCTTTGCACTGAGCCAGAATGAGTCAGAATTAGCAGGTAGGAAGGATACGTAGTGAAAGGGGGTAGGGGAGCAAGAGGGGAAGACGCGCGTGTGGGTAAAGAACCTTTGACTCATGGCGATTGTGCAACACCATTGTCCTCTTGGTTTTGTTTCTTGACTGGATTCTAGTGATTTAGGAAGTTTCAGGAAGGAAGAAGTGTTAATGTGAGTAGTTATAGTCTTCGGTACAAATTTAAGAAAGACCTTCTTATTGGCTCTTTAAAAAGACAGAGACAGGTTAATAAAAGCAGCCGTTAAATGGCATGAAGATTCTTTAAGGGATGAGGGTTCTGATAGTTGATAGTTTGCATAAGAAGAGGAAATTTAATGCAAAGTTGAAACAGGGTGACATCCCATAGTTTTAGGACCTAGAGAGTTGGTATTGAACTATTAGAATGGTGTTTTGTTGCAACAGTGTTGATGTAAGATGATAACGGTTCCAGAAGATGTGGTAGGCAGATAAGAAGGTCATTGACTAAAAGATGAAGGAACATTTTCCATTATATTCTCTTCTTATAAGGCAAGTTGTGTGTGACTTGGCTCTTGCACTAAGGATTCCTGCCCTGGATTCTTAGATGACTAGCATAAGTGAAAAAGTACTTATGCACATTGGAATTTAGTCCATGGGATATTCTCCCCATAGCATCAGAAGTGTCCACTTCTGTGAAGCAAAAGAAAATGATCTCTGGCTTGTGAGAGAGAGAAAAAATATATCACACACACACACACACACATACATATATATAAAGAAAGAGAGAGAGTGGTTTCACAAACATCATAATCAACTGATATGTGATCGTGCTGGCATGGCCTTGGGCTGGGAATCGGGAAGCTAGCCGTTGCAGTGACTTCTGTGTGACTCTGAACACGTCTCTCCCGTTTGTTCTTCAGTTTTCCCTTTGGTGGAGCCGGGTACCCTTTGCCCTGGCCCCTCGACACGTCACAGCGCTTAATAAGTTAATGCCTGTCTACAGAGTGCTTTGAACACCTCTGAGCGTGAGAGATTATGTGGCCCAACTTTTTTCTTCTGAAGAAGCTCTCAGGGGCAGACCCAATTCAGTTTTTGTAACAGTTATTGTCCCGCATTTCATCAAGGGGCAGAAAGGTGTTTCATCAAGGGGCAGAACATCAGCTTGTTCTGTTGTTTGGGTTTTGTTTTTATACCAGTTATGGAAGGTGGTGCCTTTTCCCCAGTTAGTGCTAAGAGCAATGACCACGGGAGAATTGTCAGCAAAGGTCCCCACGGGAGCACGGGCTCTGCTTGCTGCTGTGCCAGCCTAGGCCGACGCTGACCCCGGATTTGTGTGACCTTGAACATGTTACTTGACTTCCTGCTGCCTTAATTTTCTTCAGTTATGAGATAATGTCAGTGAAATGACCAGCTTGTCCGCCTGGGGGACAGTGGTGACAGGGTCTTTTGAAACTTTACCTGCTCTAGATAGGACACTGGTAACTGAACTGTGTCTGGAGTTCCCTTTTGCACCGAACAAGCATCGGTATCCTGAGAAACATGTTTTTTTAATGCATAAAATAAAATACATAGAATTTACATGGAAACAGTTATCAAATGTTAATCATAATACTGTGCTCTGTTGGCTTCTTTGTAACACATCAAATAACAGAATGTAGCTGCAGGTCTAAGGCTACTGTAATTTTCAAGTCCCGGTGAGTGTAAATATTAGGTTGCAGGATCTGCAGCAACTGTTATGTGATGTCAGAGTGTCCTGTGACTGTGACAGGAGGGCGGCGTCGACTTTTCTTTTTTTGTTGAGGGCAGCGTGGACTTTTCTTAGAGGCATTTGCATGTGGAGATGCAAGTTTGCCCAGCAAGCTGGCTCTTTGCTCCTCTGTCCCATCTCAGTGTCTCCGCAGACCGGTGCAAGGTGGTGAGCCCCAGGCTAAGAACTCCCGCTCGAGCCAGCTGAGTTAAATGATCTCATGGCCACTTGCATTTTAAGCTTCACAGTATATCTTCAACATTTCCACCATACTAAGAACAAGGGCATAGAGAAGATAGACCTAAGAGTCCATTTTCAACCTGTGGTGACTGTTCTTGGTTGCAGAGAAAGGTTAAAAACAGTGAATTAGGGGAGGCTCTTGTATCTAATGGATTTTGCTTTTGTCACGCCTCAGTCTTCGTGGGATGGATTAGACTGCACTGCTCCAGCTTCTTGCATTTTGGGTTTTAGGGTTTTATCTTCCTTCCCCATTTTTGACCTAATTATTTTCTTACTGTTCCTTCTTCCATGTATCATTTTGGCCACAGAGCATTGGGGGAGGGTTAGTTTTCTTTGCAGTCAGTATAAATTGGGGTGTGAACTTTTCCATTCTCTTCATCCTTTTAGGACTGAATGTAGGACTAGCTGGTGTCACTTCACTTTGACTTAAAATTCCCTGTTGGGAGACGGAGCTCATTCTTGGCAAGTCCCCTGTGTCCTGATGTAGAAGAGAGAGTAAATCGGACATCTTGGAAGGTAAAGAAACCACCGGCACATAACCCTCTGACGCAACCTGAGTGTGATGCCTTCTGTTTCTGGGGTGTCTCTTGTATCTTTATTCATTATTGTGGCAGTTCCCAAGGTGAAGGTCATCAAGTTAAACACAAGTCAACACTGTTGATGCGGTGACCGTCCACTTTCTGTGAGCAGAGACTTCTGCACTAACTCACCTGGGAAAGGCAGGTGGCGAGCAGCTAAATCGGTATATAAATAGATATCATGTCATCCTTGTGGGAGGGGTGTAACTGTGAGGCCAGGGTAGCCCCAAGCTCATCCTCCCACATGGCTCACCCAATGTTTATGGAGTTTCTTTTGGGTGCTGGGTGCTGAGATGATGCCCCTTCCTCCGGGAGCCCCCATCTACACAATTCAGGAAGACAGTTTCGTGGATGATAACAGTGCTGTGACTCTGATGCTCTGGGGCTATGAGGATGCTCCTTGGGGTGCCAGGGAATCAAGGAGAATTTCACAGAAAGGGACATTTGCACTGAGATTTTACTCTGGTTGGCCACTATTCTAAATGGTGATCATTGAAATTCGTTCTTAAAGACTCTATTTACCGTAATATAAATTTTTTTTGCTTGTATAAAATGTGTTAGCTTCAGAGACAACAGATATATCTTTACCTTTCGAGTACAAAAACACAGTAGCTTGGGCCAAGGTCTTGTTTGTGCACCCCACATGTGGTCTTCACATTGGGGAAAGGTTGATTCTTCCTGTTGTGCCCTTGGTCTGAGAGGAAGCCGTTCAGTAGCTGGTGTGCCAGAAGTTAAGAATGAGCTCGGAATGGAATCCTGAGGTCTTTAGCTGCACATTCTAAGTTGCTCCTATGCCTTTTATGGAGTAGTGGACAAGGCATAGAAGTGAAATTTGTTAAACATGACATAGTTGTAATAAACTTGAGTTCTCAGAGCAGGAAAATGAGAAAGGGTCATTGGGAGACTTGAAATTGGAATTGAAGAGGTGATCCTGAGCTTGGTCAGGTCAATTTGGAAACTTTCATACGTGCAACAGCCTAATAGAGTCTGCTTTTAAAGATTCCTGGGAAATTTGGCCTTAGGACTGTTTGGAACTGGTTTCTTCTTTTCAATTTCCAAGAAGGCTAAGTGTCATAATTCTAGTTTACAGGGACTAATTTGGGGAATTGTCCTGCTGGACCAGTCACTTGGTGTTTTATTGACTTATTTAACTCCATTCATCCTGGCTTTTTACACACAGTAGGCACTCAGTCAAAGGAAATAACTGGCCAGGTCGCTCAGCCTCAGGTTCCCCCAAAAGTACACGCAGATAAATCTTACCGCTGATGCCTGCCATGCAGAGTCGCTGTTGAGAGCAAGGAGGAGCTGTGAGTGAGCGTCTCTCTGAGAACCCAAAAGCATAGATGGAATTTTGTCTTGTCCGCCTTCATAGTCAGCTCTCACCTCTCTACACAATTAGGAATGGGGAGAAACAAAGCAAGGGTTCTTTTTCTTACTAAATGCTCCGAAAGTCAAACAATAGAACAATTGATTTTATTTGCCCTTAATATTTCTCCAATCTCTGAACATTAAAATGTGTAGTTGGAAGGGAGGTAAGTTACAAGGGCCTTGAAATAACAACCGATTGGATGATGAACCTTTCACTAGTTGGAACTTAATTCTGTTTACATGAGAAATAACACCCGCCTCTTAAACTAATATTATGGAATAAGTAGGAAACCTCTTCTTAAGATACTCAGTTATAAAGTGATAATGTTCATTTTTTAAACCCACTTAAGAGTTTTTCTTTTTTGCTTTATCCTCATTCAGGTGGGGGTCACCTCTGAGAAGGGGGTTCCTGGACTCCTCAGACACCTCACCCCCAGGATGAGCACTGCAGTATCGTGACCCTTGGGGTTTGGGTGAGTAGCCTGGTGGATGATTCATTAGGGCATGTGGCTGGCTTAGAAAGATGATCTTGTGTATAAGCTTCAACTTCTGTGCAATGAAAAGTCTTTGAGCAAATGTCACGTGCCAGACTCTGTAGGAAGTGCTTGGAACACAGTTGAGCATATCAGTCTTGGTCCCTGCCTTCATGGAGCTGGTAAGAGAGATGAATGTTACACGGATGATCATGTAATTACACAGGCAATTATGTGTGATTCCAAAAGCATGGAAAATGTGAATAAACACAGGATGCTATGAAAAGGGTGTAATGGAGAAATTTTGTATAGGTGGTGGCATTTGGTATCCTTTCTTGCTGAAAAAGAAACACATCAGCCAAGATTTCATTCATTCAGTGAAAATATTCAAACTCAATATGGAAGGGCCGGGGCAAGGAGGAGCCGTGAGAAGAATGACGCCCAAATTTCTGGCATGAGCAGCTGGGTGGGTGAGGTGCCATTTACCGAAAGGTGACAGTGGGGAAGATGCTTAGGGAAGGAGGCTTGTGGAGATGAAGAATTCACCTTTGGTCTTGTCAAGGCTGAGCTGTCGAGCTGGCAGTAACATCCCGGCATGCGGGAGGGCTGAGCTGAAGTAGATTGGGGGAGCTGTTGGCATGGAGAGAACTTAGAGAACGAGAAGAGACAAGGACCCCGGGCGGCTTCCTGAGGACGCGCACATTGTCAAGATTAGGCAGAAAAAAAGCCACAAAGGAGCAGATAAAGAGTGAGTGGAGACTGAGGAAGAAGGATGGTGTGTAGAAACCAGAAGGGGACACTCTCAAGAAGGCGGGTCCCTGGCAGAGTCTAAGCAATGGAGCAGGGTGATGTCGGCAAAGTGACTGGTGGGGACTTTCCCAAAAGCAGTGGCTTCTGTGATCTGGGGTGGAAGCTGGTTTAAATGGGTGAGTGGCAAGTAAGAACGGGAAGACTGTGTCTTGTCAGCTCAGTGGAGAAGCGGGCACTGGTGGGAATAGAATCTAGAGCAGGATTTTGTTTTGCTTGAATTTTTTCTTAAGCTGGAAGATAATATAACTCATCTCGGTGCTGATTGGAAATAGCCAGTAAATTCAGGGGCCAGGGGATGACCGAGGTAAAGCAGGAGAGCTCTCAGCACCATCTGAGATGGGGCTGATGTTTGAGGAAAAGTGGGCCCTTTTCTCTGTTTCGATACTGGAGAAGAAAGAGGGGGTAGTGCTGACGGAAATAGGTTTGCGGATTTGGTAGTAGGGGCGTCCTGCCTGGTGACTTCTCTCCTCCCTGTTAAGTCCTGGGCAAGACTGCACCGGAGCAGGGAGGTCGAGAAGGAAGATGGTCCAGGAGATGTGGGCACTAGGCAGAGTGGTGCGTGAGCTCGCTGGCCATCGTCCTGGTGGTGGTTATCACTCTCGCTTACCCGTGCCCCGGAACGTGTCCTGAGACCAGCTCACCTCATCCGCGAGGCCCCTGCTTGGACAGGCGCACAGCGGTGGATGAGACAGCTGGCCAGCTCTGCCACCCATTAGGGCAGGACTGACCAGGACAGGACCCGATGTGGACAAGTCATTTAACATATCAGAGCCTCCGTTTCCTCTAAAATGGGGATGGTAGAAAAACCTGTCTTCTGGGGTTGCTGCGGATGAGTTAATATGTGCGGCCAGTGCTTGGAAGAGTTCCTGACTCCCAGTCAATATTTTAAGCATTTTTTTTAGGGGATTAAAAAGAGAAACTCTGTATAAATAGATCTAAGGAATTAGGAGATTTCCTTCTATTGGGGGAAACACTCTGTCTGGTTGTAATGAACCGTTTTGTGGAAGATCTTTCCTAGTCCCCCGCGCTGAAGAGTCGAGCGCTGACCTGCACAGGTAGGCTCCGAAGATCCTAATTTAGTCTTGGGAACCGTGTAAGGTGCTGGGCAGGTTTTGGGTTTTTTTGCTTGCTTGTCTTTAGTGTCAGGAAGGCTGAAGCTGGGGTGACTTATTTCAGCAACTCCCTTGGGCTGGGAATTGAAAAACCCTTCCCTATGTGAGCTGATGTGCCCGTTCCTGCCTCTGCCATCTCGCCATCTGTGAAGTGACGGTGGGGCGGTGGCCTCGAGAAAGAGCGGGGTCAGAGGGCACTGATTGAAACCGGGGAGAAGCCCTTCACAGCCTGTTGATCCAGGTTGGGTGACTGAGAATCAGAAACTACACGTAGAAGCTCTTTGAAAATAAAGTGTTTTATGTTCACGGTATTGTTATTAGAAATAATTGTTACTACCAGCTCATCAGGAACGCCTGGCGGATTAATGAGGTGATCTGAAATGCGCAGTGTATGTGGAGTGCCTTTGGAGGGAGAGCGCCAGGTGTTTTGGGGCCGGGAGAAGCTGAACCAGCCGGCAGGGGCCCGGCCTGTTCTTGTGCAGCCACCAGTAGCGCAGACACGCCAGAGGACGCGCAGCCAAGGTGGCTCCTGTCTTCAGGGAACAGGCCTCATGGGGAGATAAAATAGACATGTTGGGCTATTTAATATGACATAAGATTGAGTGCAGGAGTGTGTGTGGCAGACAGAAAGTACCAGAAGTTACAGGAGGGCACTGCACGGGCGGTAATGGCTTTTCTCCTCCCGAGGTGAACGTTTTCTGATGGCTTTGTCCATGCGGGGTTCGTTTGCGGTTCCAGTTTCACCAGTGATTGCTGGTGTCTGGCAAGGGGTTACACAATGGTTAGGGTTGTGGATGTTGAACTTGACAACCACGATCAATTTTATTCTTTAAATGGTGGGGGGGCTGAAAGTGACGAGGGACTGGGGTAAAAATAGGAGTCTGTCATCCAGACCAAGGAGATTTTTAGGGAAAGGTTGGCACAGAAACAGCCCATAACATTTTATTTTAGTTCTTTTTCCTCCCTTATTTAAGAAGGAAAAAAAATAGTAACGTGCACTCAGAGCTTCCACGAATTCTTTTCAGTGTCTCAGGTAAAACAGCTGGAACTGTTGGAAACGTCTAAATGAAGAAATAGACGTTTAACCCTGACAGTGATCATACTCCCGGTCAAAACCTGGAATATAACTCATCTTGTCAAGTTCTAAGTCTCTCAAAAGTGTGTGTCAGCTGTGACATATAAAGGGAGCTACTTCTAACTCCCTTTGATTTTCCCACTAATCCCACACCTGATAGCCTCCCTTTTCAGTCTTACAGCCCATGCAAGAGAGATGGTGGCCTCGTGGCTACAAGAAAATCTTATTGGAGCTGTCGTGGCAGGGCGCAGGGACGAAAGCTCGTCTGGGTTTTCCCTGGACCAGTCTAGGCTTCTTGCATAAAAGGGTTTCTTGTTTGTTCTCTGGCTAAGTTTGGGAATGTTTTCTTGACTTTTATGCTTCAGGTTAGCCTTGCAAATTGGATCAAAAAATATCTTAGCCTTCAAAGATGTTCTCTTACCTTCGACGCTGTGGAGCGTTCACTCCCATGCTGGCCCCGGCCTGTGAGCTGTGCCGCCGAGGAGGAGAACACCACACACGTGCACGCGCATACACACACACACACACACACACACACACACGCATGCGCGCTTGGCGTAACTTAATAGGAAGATCATGGAAATTGGGGCAGGACCAATTCTGTCTGGTGTGGACTCAGTTGATTTCAGAAGTGCTTCCTTTAATGTCTCCCCACCCCACGTCCCTGCAATACAAACATAGATGAATTGGATGCATGGTTTGAAATGAGAAGGGTTTGTCACACGAGTGTGCCCTTGTTTGCAATCAGAGGTGGAGCCCCACACAGTTTGCTGTGGATTTGGAGACCCCAGTGGTTTCAGAGCATTGTTCTGAAAAAAGAAACACCCAGGTTTTCGAGGAGTTTGTGTTTAGGCGTAGAGAACTGGGAGAGTCGATGGCTGAAGATAAGAACGTCTGTCTCTTCTGCTTACACACGCCTGGGACGGGATGCCTGGGTGGGAGGCTGTGCCTGGGCAGAAAGTCTTAGTCACTCTTCAGCTGCTTTAGCACCAGAGCCCTTGGCCAGCATGTGGACGCCGAGGACGGCGCTCGCTGCCGGCGCCTGGACGCTGGCGGGGCTGTAAGGGCGTCCCGTCTCTGATCTCGCTCCCGGCCCCTCTGGGCGGCCTGTTCCGCAGTGTGCCCTGGAGATGCGAGATCTTCCTTCCGCGGCAGGAGGCGCACACCCGGAGGATGCTGGAGCTGCGAGGAGAAAGGACCCACTCCCACAGCAGAGAAAAACAAAGAGGAAAAAGGCGCACCGGCGGCCAGCGCTAAGGGACGCGCCCAGCGCGGTGGGCCCCACCGCTGCCCTCAGCAGCTGCCTCTGCTGCCGCCCGAGAGGAACTCGGTGAGCCCGTCCCGTCTGTGACTGCAAGCTCAGGATTCCAATCAATGCATTCCAGTAACCCTAAAGTGAGGAACTCTCCGTCGGGAAACACACAGAGGTGAGGAAGGGTCTGGCCCGGGGCTGCCCGCGGGGGTCCTGGGTGCACCGGCAACGCTTCTGGGTGGAACAGCCCCGTGGATCAGCAGCAGAGGAGACCCCGGTGGGGAAAGGAAGCAAAGCAGACGATAGGAGCACGATGGTGAACAGCTGTGGAGCCCGGGCGGCGTTTCCACCAGGCTCGCCTGTGCTCCTCCTCGGCCCCCGCTCCCTGGCCGGCCCTGCCATGCCCCTCCTCGCCGGTGCACAGGGATGGGGCCTGGGCGACCCCTGGCCAGTGTGCTGGCCTTGGCAGGGGAGGACGCTGAGCCCCGAGGACTCCCGCCGGGAGCTCTCCCCTGCTGCACGTGCTTCAGGTGATATTTGGAGAGAAGTTCTCCTGTGCCCCCGGGCAGTGGCTGGTGTGGCTGCCGTGACGCGCCTGCTGGAGGCCTGGCCTCCTGGAGGGCTCCCCGGACCTGCCCGTCTGCAGGGGCCTCCCCCCTCCCCTGCGCCCGCTCGGTTTCCCAGCCCAAGCCGGGCTCTATCACAGCTGTTCCTCCAGCAGTGGGGCCGAGGGGGGTGGCCAGGATTTTGATCTTAACGATGCCTGTTTGTTTACTCTGAGCTAGTCTGAGTGTGAGAGTTGCTTCTCTGTGTACATAGAAACCGTTGTCCTTTATTGACAGAAGCCCTAGAGATGGGTCCCCATGTGACTCTAGGGTTCCCGGCCTTGGCGGCCGCTCTGCCGGAGCCTCCTCCCTGCCGAGGGCGAGGGCATGTGAGCGGGGCGGGGGACAGGCCAGGGCGGAGGTGAAATGTGGGGAGTCACTCAGTCCTCACGGGCTCCTCCCCCCCTGTGCTGGCCGCGTCCACTGCCTGAGCTGCCCTTGTTGTCTGTCTCTTCCAGTAGCCCCAAGTCAAAGCAGGAGGTGATGGTCCGTCCCCCCACAGTGATGTCCCCATCTGGAAACCCCCAGCTGGATTCCAAATTCTCCAATCAGGGTAAACAGGGGGGCTCAGCCAGCCAATCCCAGCCCTCCCCCTGTGACTCCAAGAGCGGGGGCCACACCCCTAAAGCCCTCCCTGGCCCAGGTGGGAGCATGGGGCTGAAGAATGGGGCTGGAAATGGTGCCAAGGGCAAGGGGAAAAGGGAGCGAAGTATTTCCGCCGACTCCTTTGAGCAGAGAGACCCCGGGACTCCCAACGATGACTCTGACCTGAAAGGTATGTCCGCGCGATCGCCGAGACTCGGAGGGCAGTGGTGTCCCCGCGGGGGGGCCTTGGGCATGCGGTGGCCGCCGCGGCACCGGGCAGCGGCCGCGTGGGGGCGCAGGCGGCGGTTTGGGCTGGAGTGAGTTCTCTCCCCCTTCGGCTAGCTGAGCGTGCTGGGGATCCCTGCTCGTGGAGCTCCTGCTCTCGGGGGTGCCTTAGGGGTTGAGGTGGCCGCGCTGCCTCGTGGGTGTTTCTGGCCTCCGCGCTGTTCACACTTCAGCCAGTAGGTCCAGGTTGCCTGTGCCAGGCTCGAGCAGTTTTTCTGGCATCTTCTCCTCTCCATCTGATTCATCCTCCAAGGCCTGGGTTTTGTGCCCCCTGGCTGCCCCTTCGCAAAAGCCATAGACACAGACACCGCCTGGCTCTAGGCCAGGGTTGTCACGGCTGATGTCAGTGGCAGCGGTGACTCCGTGGGGTGAGATGGGTCGGGCACCAACATGGAGCACGCCAGGAAGAGGAGGGGCCGGTGGCTGTGGTTTGGGGCTTTTTCCTTTCTAGTATAAAACCAACAATCGTATCGCTGGCCCAGAACCTGAAGTTAGTACTCAGGGGGTGCAAGTGGCGTCCCCAGCACAATTAGAGCCGGAAACCCCGTGATGGGTCCCACCGGCTCTGCCTCCCGGGCGCTGGCAGAGGCTGCCCTGAGTGCCAGCGCCGTGCTGGCTGCTCAGGGCCATGGTCAGCAAGAGGACACGGTGCTGTCCTTGAGGACTTGGGTGCACCTGGGCAGCACAGAACAGCTACAATAAAATTTGATAAATGCTAAACTAGGAGAAGTCGGGGCTGTGCTTTCCAGTTAGCTGGGGCACTGGTCCAGTCCGAAGGTTCCAGAAAGGTTTCCATGCAGGAGGGCGTGTGCTGCAGTATCTGGGATGCACGCTAGAGCAGTAAGGAGGCAGGCAGCGCTGTGTAACTGGCCACTTAGGGACAAGCATGTCTGCATGTTTGTGCTTCCTTGAGATTCTCAAGGTGGGTCTGTGTTGTGACACTGTCAGTGCTGGCAGAAGAAACAGTCATGTTCTTTCTGTGATGTGAGCCTTCTCATTCTTTTAGAATGTAATTCTGCTGACCACATAAAGTCCCAGGATTCCCAGCACACGCCACACTCGATGACCCCATCAAATGCTACAGTCCCCAGGCCTGCCACGCCCCCACACGGCCAGACTGCTGCCCCTGAGCCCCCGCCTGCTCAGAAGACCCCCGCCAAAGTGGTTTATGTGTTTTCTACTGAGATGGCCAACAAGTAAGTTGGTGGCGTGTCTTGCCGTTGACCTGTGTTTGGGCTCCTGTGTGGTCATCTCCTTGGAGACTGACCCTTCTGTCGCCCACTCGTGTTAGCGTCACTGGAACTGAACAGCACCGAGAGGTGCAATAAAATAAGATGCCTTCCCACCCCCACGCCCCAGAACCAGCCACGCACACCACTTCCTCGACTTTCCTTCCAGAGGTTTCTTGTGCTTCTGCAAATACACATGCATATCTCTTTTACACACAGAAGGGATTGGGAACGCAGCACACACTCATCTGCCACTTAGTCGTCTTAATGACCCAAGCGATCCATGTCCATTTTCGAATAATGGTAATTATAAGATATAAATCACTAAAAAGAAAGACTCTGGAATCCAGCAGTGACTACTGTGAATCTTTTGGTATATATGTTTCTAAGTGGATGGATGAATTAATGGAGTTTTACTTATTTATCAAGAAGTGTGATAAATATACCTTCACACAGTTTCCTGACTCTTTTTTCACATATTTTACTTAAGATTCAAAGTGGATCCCGACAAGCCTCTGACCGTCAGTGGGTGTTGTGAGACTCCATGTTTTCTCTCCTGGGGTTGGGATTTCGAGCTGGGATTGGTTAGAGGGAGAAGGTCTTGTTTTAATGCCTCTTTGGGGTTTGCTGCTGGCTCTCGTGATTTCCGAAGTGTGCTGGTACAGGACAGACATAACCAATGCAGACCTGTTCCTCTTCCTTCCTTCCTTCCATTCTCCATTGCTGGTGGCTCTTTCTGCTTCTCCTTTTCTCGTGTACGTTCACCCTGGGGCTAAAGTGCTTTGGAACCACTCCTCGTGGGGCAGGACGAGCCCATTTGTGTGCCCTCTCTTGTCTCGGCAGGGCTGCAGAAGCTGTGTTGAAGGGCCAGGTTGAAACGATTGTCTCTTTCCACATCCAGAACATCTCCAACAGCAAGGCTGAGAGAAGCACAGCCCCTCTGGTACGTGGTTCTGCAGATCGTGGTTTCGTGGCTCTGCGGTACTTGTGGAGGCGGGAGGTGGGGGACTATGTGGACAGGAGCAGTCTTGGTGCTCCAAGTTGCATTCTAGGCATTTTCCCTAGTTCTGGCGTTGCACGGTTTTAGATCCATCACACTTTTCCACTAGAGTGTTGGCAGACTGATGATGTCCTGGGGTAGGGGCAAAGGTACAAAATAAAAGAACTCTACAGACAACCAGCTCAGGGAAACTCTGAATTCAGATCCTGTCGACAGAGCAGGTTTTTCAAAATACTCTTGAGTTAGTTGAACAGAGAAAAAAAGCACCAACTAAAAGCACAGCGCTGAAGTACATACTGGTACCACCGTGAGTGGTAGTGTGACCCTCTAGTGGCAGAGTCAGTGACCCTCAGAATTATTCTTTCCAAAGTGAGAAGACCATTGAGTGCTTTTAATGGCTTACTATTCCAAAAATTCTAATAAACTCAGGTCTTTTCCTGTCTGGAATTTAAGCTTCTATAATAAAACTACACTAGAAAAAAATAGACATTGCTTTAAGACATGTCATGAACCAGATTGAATCAGAAGGTGTTTGTCGTGTGTAGTGTTGTCAAGGCCGTGTCCCAGATGCTGTGGGGGAACAGCTCAGGCTCAGGGTACAGTCCCTGCTTCCAGGAAGCATAAAATCTAATGTCGGGCTGAGCCTTAAACATGGGAAAGTTTAATAACAATAAATGGCCAAAGTAACAGTCCACGATAAAACAGATGGTCCTTGGTCTGCTTTGTTTATCAATGAAGTTCATTTCCGTTGACGCAGTAGAGAGAGCTTTGCGCCCCTAGACGTAGAGACGGGATTTCTCATTCCTCATGTATTTCTACTGCTCATGGGGAGAGGATGGATGGCTCTAATATTTAACAGTGTGTGTTTATTTTAAACATCTACATGTTGAAAATGTATGTCGTCCTGGAATGCGCAGGGCACTTTGCAACTCAGACCAACAGTTTGTTGACTCACTGACAGCTCACGGTACAGTTGTCACCTCTGCCTTCTCTGGCTCTAAAATAAAATCCAAACGGAGTTAAGGAGGGAACTGGGGCAGTCAAATCACAGTCGCTGCAAACCTAATGTCAAAGGGTGGCGCCGAACTGTTCCTTCCATTGCGGGTACCTTGTGTGAAATCCACTCCCACCCCCAGCAAAACACACAAAACCTGAACAACAAAACTGTGTTTTAAACGGCACTACAAAAAAAAGTAAGATGACCTGCGTGCCCCAGTTAAGGAGGCTGGGACGTGGAAAGCACTGGCCATGTGCCACCACCCAGGTCGCTCGCTCTCAGCCACCCCCTTCTGTCCACAGACACGTGCTTAGAGGCCTCCTAGAGCAGCAAAGTGGGGCACTCAGAGGTCCCCCCGGGGCTTATGCAGCATAGGCTGCTCCCATCAGAGCCCACGCAACGCCCCTCGCAGGTTTGCACGCAGACGGACATTCCCGAGCAGGCGGGGAGTTAGTGAATACATTGTAGGAGCAAGTGAGCACCCCGAAGGGACCCCGCAGTTCACTGGAGGCTCGAGAAAGATCTCTGGGAAGGAATTTGCAGATCAGGCTCCTGGGCCCTTTAGTCCTCTCTGTTCCTCAGTATCAGCCGAGTTTAGATCCAGAACACAGAACATCGCCCTTCAAACACTCGCCGTGTTCTCGTCACCTGGTATAGGTGAGTGTGCTTTTCCCCAAGATCTGGTGTAGCGTCGGTTCTTAATAAATCATAAGACCCTCCACCAGCCCATAGAAAGGGCAGATCAAGAGACACCACGCGCTAGGTAGCCTCAGACTTCTCCACCGTGCTTCCTTCCTGCAGATTATCTTAGTATAGTTAATGCACAGGCTCTTATCTGATACGGAATCAGTGCACACATGGAAAACAGAAACCAGAGGGGTGTCAGGCCCCCTGGAAACTCAAGGACGGGTGCTCGGTGGTCCCCGTGCCAGAGCAGACCCCGCAGAGCCGCCTGGCCTGCTGCTCAGCTGGCAGAGCCGCTAGTAACAGGCCTTTCTCTTGCAGTGGAAGACATCAGGCCTCTGACTGACAATGAGAAGTCTACGTACCTAGTTGTACATTCAGGGAAAAGAAAGAGGTGTTAGGCACAGCCTCCCACATAACAAGAAACTAATCTCTCCCTGAAGCAGAAACACATAGTAGACATGTGATAGCAAACCTGTTCCTCGAAATAGACACTCAGCTGCAGTCGCTCTGGCAGAGCGGCAGTCCCCTGGCGCGCTACCCGGCGTTGAAACCTGACCTCCTGTGAGGGAGAGGCAGCCATCTGACAGGACCGTGGAGGAGAGCTCAAGATGTCCGTGTGTCCACAGCGGGGCTGGCACCGGTGCTGCCTGCAGCAGGCGTCGGGCAGAGCTGCGACGGGACAGGCCCCTTATAACACACCTTGCTCCCTTTCTCATCCCTCTGTTCAGTTTACCGATGACCTTCTCAATCTCCTTTTTCTCAGAACACACAGATACCTGCCCTGCGGAACGACCCCAAGCCTCTCCCGCAGCCGCCCCCAGCTGCCGCCAGCCAGGACCAGAATTCCGCCCAGAACACCAGGCTGCAACCCACTCCACCCATTCCGGCACCAGCACCCAAGGCTGCCGCGCCCCCCCGGCCCCTGGACCAGGACAGTCCCGGGGTAGAAAGCAAGCTGATCGCCTCCGTGGGCAGTCCTGCCAGCTCCACCCCGCTGCCCCCCGACGGTACAGGGCCCAACTCGACGCCCAACAACCGAGCGGTGACCCCTGTCTCCCAGGGGAGCAGCAGCTCTTCAGCAGATCCCAAAGCCCCCCCGCCGCCACCGGTGCCCAGCGGAGAGCCCCCCACGCTGGGCGAAAACCCCGACGGGCTCTCCCAGGAGCAGTTGGAGCACCGGGAGCGCTCCCTGCAGACGCTGCGGGATATCCAGCGCATGCTCTTCCCTGACGAGAAGGAGTTCACGGGAGGGCAAAGCGGGGGGCCCCAACAGAATCCTGGGGTGTTAGATGGACCGCAGAAAAAAACAGAAGGGCCGATACAGGCCATGATGGCTCAATCCCAAAGCCTCGGGAAGGGACCTGGGCCCCGGACAGACGTGGGAGCCCCGTTCGGCCCGCAAGGACACAGAGACGTGCCCTTCTCTCCAGACGAGATGGTTCCGCCTTCCTTGAACTCCCAGCCTGGGCCCATCGGCCCCGACCACCTGGACCACATGACCCCGGAGCAGATCGCCTGGCTGAAGCTGCAGCAGGAGTTCTATGAGGAGAAGCGGAGGAAGCAGGAGCAGGTGGTCGTGCAGCAGTGCGCCCTCCAGGACATGATGGTGCATCAGCACGGGCCCCGCGGCATGGTCCGGGGGCCGCCCCCGCCCTACCAGATGACCCCCAGTGAGGGCTGGGGGCCCGGGGGTGCAGAGCCGTTTGCCGATGGGCTCAACATGCCACACGCTTTGCCCCCGAGGGGCATGGCTCCTCACCCCAACATGCCGGGGAGCCAGATGCGCCTCCCGGGATTTGCGGGGATGATGAACTCTGACCTGGAGGGGCCGAACGTCCCCAACCCAGCGTCTAGACCAGGTCTTTCTGGAGTCAGTTGGCCAGACGATGTGCCAAAAATCCCAGATGGCCGAAGCTTCCCACCTGGCCAGGGTGTGTTCAGCGGCCCCGGCCGAGGGGAGCGCTTCCCCAACCCCCAAGGGCTGTCTGAAGAGATGTTCCAGCAGCAGCTGGCGGAGAAGCAGCTTGGGCTGCCCCCGGGGGTGAGCATGGAAGGGATCAGGCCCAGCCTGGAGATGAACAGGATGATCCCAGGGGCCCAGCGGCACCTGGAGCCCGGGAATAACCCCATCTTCCCGCGGGTACCAGTGGAGGGCCCTCTGAGTCCTTCCAGGGGCGACTTTCCTAAAGGGATGCCCCCCCAGATGGGCCCTGGTCGGGAGCTTGAGTTTGGGATGGTTCCCAGCGGGATGAAGGGGGAGGTCGGCCTCAACGTCAACATGGGGGCCAACTCTCAGATGATACCTCAGAAGATGAGAGAGGCCGGGGCGGGCCCTGAGGACATGATGAAGCTGCGCCCGGGTGGCGCCGACCTGCTGCCCACCCAGCAGAAGATGGTGCCCCTGCCGTTCGGAGAGCACCCTCAGCAGGAGTACAGCATGGGCCCCCGGCCGTTCCTCCCCATGTCTCAGGGCCCAGGCAGCGGCGGCGGCGGCGTGCGGAACCTCAGAGAGCCCTTGGGGCCCGACCAAAGGACTAACAGCCGGCTCAGTCATATGCCACCACTACCTCTCAACCCTTCCAGCAACCCCACCAGCCTCAACACAGCTCCTCCGGTGCAGCGGGGCCTGGGGCGCAAGCCCCTGGATATATCCGTGGCCGGCAGCCAGGTGCACTCCCCAGGCATCAACCCTCTGAAGTCTCCCACGATGCGCCAGGTCCAGTCGCCCATGCTGGGCTCGCCCTCGGGGAACCTCAAGTCCCCCCAGACTCCATCGCAGCTGGCAGGCATGCTGGCAGGCCCAGCTGCTGCTGCTTCCATTAAGTCCCCTCCTGTTTTGGGGTCTGCTGCTGCTTCGCCTGTTCACCTCAAGTCTCCATCACTTCCTGCCCCGTCACCTGGATGGACCTCCTCTCCAAAACCTCCTCTCCAGAGTCCCGGGATCCCTCCAAACCATAAAGCACCCCTTCCCATGGCCTCCCCAGCCATGCTGGGGAGTGTGGAGTCAGGTCAGTATGTGGGTCCTCACGGGCGGATTTGACAGCTGGAGAGCGCAGAGTTGGGTTTCCTTGCTCTAAGGAAACAGGCGTCCTAGCGGGTCAGGTACCCAGAGGGGGCGGCCTTGGCCGAGATGGACATGCTTGTGACAGGGTGCGCGCTCGTGCTTCCGTGGGGTCAGCACAAGCGTCCACTCCTGGCAGGCATCCCCTCCTGAGACGCAGGGACTCAGTGCAGAATGTGATTGTCAGATCGGGCTGTTAGGAGGAGGCAGAAGAGTGAGAAACGTGTCATTTCGCGGAATAATTTACATTTGCACAGTGAACTCATGTTGGGGGAAGTAAAAGATCTTAAGAGTGAATAAACGGGCCATCTTTAAACCCTAGACCCACCCATGGCAAGGAGCTGCCCTCGCGTCCAGAGATTCTGAGTGTGACCCTCAGTGACGGGGGGTGTGGGGACTGCTGAGACTTGAGTGGGTCTCGTAATACATGTGGGTCGTAGAAACGGTCACCAAACCTCCTCCTCGGTAGACTGCTGTTCTCACAGATCAGCTCCAATTTATTAGTATTTTCTTCCTAGGAGTAGCTCTTGCTGATGATGGTGGTTTTGTAAATAGGACCAGAGGTGGCCAGTGGAAGATGAGCACTGAGGTGTAAATACCAGGTCTGCGCTGTCTCCACTTCAGAAAGACTAGAATCAGAATAAAAAGGAGACTCATCCCACCCAGCTGAAGTGCCCGCTCTGTCGGGTAGCAGCTCACGAAGGCAGTTCAGCAGATCAGCCCCCTCAGACCATGTCAGAGCAGACCTTGGTGGTGGAAATTCATCCAGGCATGTGTGGGGTGACCCGGGAGCAGCTGGGCCTGGGCCCTAGTGGGGCTTGCTGGCATCCGCACTCCAGGCTCGTAGTCTAACTTGTGGTTGGCGTGGGAGTGACCCACTCAGTTCGCATTATTTTCAGCAAAATAATTGTCGGTAAACCCCGTTTTTCCCAAGCCTGGACTAAACATTTCCAGCGCGTTCTTGGCGTGTTGTCTTCCCACCGGCTGATCCGTCACCCCCGGTCAGTCCGCCATCTCCCTCTGCACACGCGGGGCTGGGCTGGGAGACTGACGGCGCATGGCCTGGGCCTCAGGACACTGTCCTGTTACCTGGCTCCTTCCTGGCCTTGCTACTTCATAATCGAGGGCCCGTCGCCTTCAAGAGCAATCTCATTTGCTGCCTGTTTTTTTTTTCTAATTTTGCTGTCTTCTCCTAGGTGGCCCCCCGCCGCCTACCGCCAGCCAGTCTGCCTCTGTGAATATCCCCGGAAGTCTTCCCTCCAGTACGCCGTACACCATGCCTCCAGAGCCGACCCTCTCCCAGAACCCGCTCTCTATCATGATGTCTCGAATGTCCAAGTTTGCGATGCCCAGTTCCACCCCATTGTACCACGATGCCATCAAGACTGTGGCCAGCTCCGATGACGACTCCCCGCCAGCTCGTTCTCCCAACTTGCCATCAATGAATAATATGCCAGGTAAGAGGTCAGACAGGGACGTGGGGGGCAGGACGTGGGGCTGGTGCTGCGGGCGAGGACTGGCGCGTGTCTCTGACTGCACCTGCGTGGACGGAAGCCCCGCGCCGGACATGTGCTAACTAGGGGGAAATAAGGGTTTTTATTACCTTGATTTATTCATAGTATTTGTGTATAAGGAAACCGGTTTCCTTATAGAAATTTTTAGCCAGGATGGGGGGTCTTCCTGGAGCCATACTGAAAGCAATTTCTTTTTAAACACACTGACTGGAATGTCTTCAGCTTTCAAGTATTTTTCTGGAAGGGCAGCCTCAAACCACGGGCAGCCACAGGATTTCAGACCGTGGAAAGCGCCTGTTTCCTAGAGAAGCTTTCTTTTTTATTTTTTAATTTTTTTATTTTTATATTCCCCATACAATTGCACCCCCCTTACTTTGACCCCAATCCCTTTTTTCCCCCACCCCCCCATAGTGTGTCTCTGGTTTATAGTTGTTTGTTGATTTTGATTTTTTCTTTCTTATAGTTATTCTTTTTTTAGAGAAGCTTTCTTAGGACTAGAAAGATAATAAAATTCCCCCCTTCCCTTCAGAGGACTCTTGCACGCCTGTACTCACCTCCTCCCCCAGGTGAGTGGGTCCTCGCAGCCGCAGGTGTGTCCCAGCGCCGCCCTGACCATCAGGGACGCTCTGCGCCGAGCAGACATGACGCGCTCCGTGACAGCACAGCGCCCTGCGCGTGCCCAGGGCGTCCGCAGAGACCGGCCAGCTGAATGCCCCAGAGACGAGTCCCGCGTGCTCTTTCCCATCACCAGTCACCGGCGCTCGCGGTCGTGCAGCCTGGGGTCTGAGGCGCTGTCTCTGCTGGCAGCATGAACGGGTGATGCTGACTGCCAGCTGCAGGCGGCCTGCCTGTCTTCCTCGTTACTCTTCCTGATTCTTGGGGGTGCCGGACTACGAGTTCCGTCCCCTTTCTCCAAAAGGACCATGCTTGGGTCACTCCCTTGCTTTCCTGTATGTTAAATGTCCCCAGTGAAGAAAACTAAACCCATTTTTGCGTGAACTTTGACTTTTCACACAGGAGCCTTAGCTGTCTCCTGTGCGCTCCTGTCACGCAGCTCACCACTCTCTAGCGTATTAGCTCATAGAGCTGTCGGATCATGGGCCCCAAAATGTTCCATGCTCCTGTTGAGGACGGGGAGTGTGTGCGCCACGCTTCCCAGCGTAATACCTGCACGTTTGGTGCAGTTTCTGCGTTAATTTAACTTACTACGGTTTCTTTGAGTGCTTTTGGTTGATTCCTTTGATATCTTTATTTTTCCAGGAATGGGCATTAATACACAGAATCCTCGAATTTCAGGTCCAAACCCCGTGGTTCCGATGCCAACCCTCAGCCCAATGGGAATGACCCAGCCTCTTTCACACTCCAATCAGATGCCCTCTCCAAATGCCATGGGACCCAACATCCCTCCGCATGGCGTCCCGATGGGGCCTGGCTTGATGTCACACAATCCTCTCCTAGGGCACGGCTCCCAGGAGCCTCCGATGGCACCTCAAGGACGGATGGGCTTCCCCCAGGGCTTCCCTCCCGTACAGTCTCCTCCGCAGCAGGTTCCATTTCCTCACAATGGCCCCAGTGGGGGACAGGGCAACTTCCCAGGAGCCATGGGTTTCCCAGGAGAAGGCCCGCTTGGCCGCCCCAGCAACCTGCCCCAAAGTTCAGCAGATGCAGCACTTTGCAAGCCTGGAGGCCCCGGGGGTCCCGAATCCTTTGCTGTCTTGGGGAACAGCATGCCTTCGGTGTTTACAGACCCAGATCTGCAGGAGGTCATCCGACCTGGAGCCACCGGGATTCCCGAGTTTGATCTGTCTCGCATCATCCCGTCAGAGAAGCCTAGCCAGACACTGCAATATTTCCCTCGGGGGGAAGTCCCGGGCCGGAAACAGCCCCAGGGGCCTGGGCCTGGGTTTCCGCACATGCAGGGGATGATGGGCGAACAGGCCCCCAGGATGGGACTAGCACTGCCCGGCATGGGAGGGCCAGGGTCAGTGGGCACTCCGGACATACCTCTCGGTACAGCGCCATCCATGCCGGGTCACAATCCAATGAGACCACCAGCCTTTCTCCAGCAAGGCATGATGGGCCCTCACCATCGGATGATGTCACCAGCACAGTCCGCAGTGCCCGGCCAGCCCGCCCTGATGAGCAATCCGGCCGCGGCCGTGGGCATGATCCCTGGCAAGGATCGGGGGCCTGCGGGGCTCTACACCCACCCGGGCCCGGTGGGCTCCCCGGGCATGATGATGTCCATGCAGGGCATGATGGGCCCCCAACAGAACATCATGATGCCCCCGCAGATGAGGCCCCGGGGCCTGGCCACCGACGTGGGCATGGGTGGGTTCAGCCAAGGGCCTGGCAACCCAGGAAACATGATGTTTTAAGCTGCTAAGAGTGGATGTGCCGATCAGCCTCGTCGCGAAGAGATTCCAGGCCCCGCGAGCCGCCGGGAGGGCTCGGCGTGGTCACGCAATAGGAGGACGGAGACCGAGGGCGGCTTCGGGGAAGGGGACTCGAGAATGTATGGATTTACCTGAAAGCAGATATTCATTTAATCAACAGGTGTGTTTTTTTTAAGATTTATTTTTTAAAGATTATTTTTGTGGACTCGGGCACCCGCGAAGGCGCTCCCTGTATGTTTACGTCCCGGACTGGCTTCTCCCAGGATTCGGTTCTGGTTTCGTTCTTTGCTTTGGGCTTTATTTTTGTGTGTACTGTACTATATTGTAAAAGGGATTTTAGCAGAGACTTTAGTCTTTGGGACAAGAGGAGGACAGGAATGCTGGGCTGTTTACTTTAGGTGGAGAATCCATCTTCAGACCTTTGGACTATTTTCTTTCGACTCCAGTGTATAGAAAAACCAAACTACGACCTCAGAGCAGAGTATTAATGAAAAGCACAAAAAAGGAACTAAGTTCAGCGAGGGGGTGGGGGGCGGGGGATTTTTCTTTCTAAAATGATGACACTTAGGACGTTTGTTTTCAGTTCAGGCCTCCTCGGCGCCTGCTCCCAGCCCCACAGCCACCGCCACGTTTTCTCTCGTTTCCCTCCCCCCGCCCCTTGGTCACGCGTGTTTCTCCCCTGGTGTCCCACACTGGTGACCCCCCAACCCGATTCCCCCCTCCTTTTCTTTTTGGCAGCTGCAATACACGGTGTCACGTTGGGGAGCTGAGTCTGCGGGAGCCTCGCCCTGCCCCGAGCCATGTGCGCTTCCCCGGTCTCCCCCCGACGCCCTTCCCGGCCCGCCTTGTTTTCTGTTCTTTAATTAGGAATTCCCAAGTGGACTTTATTAATGTGGGAGTGGAACAGACGCTAAAAGCTATCCAGGATTTTGTTTTCGTTTTTAATTTTGTGGTTCCTCCCTTCTCCTCCCCCCCATGCGTAAAACGTTCTGTGTAACCTCCATTAAATTTGGTACAAAACCACTCACCAGAAAGCTGTGGTGTCAGAAAAATAAAATATATTGTTTCTTACAAAACTGAACCGCCTCTCTCGTTCGTGCGGATTCCCGTTTGCTTAGTGCTGGGCCTTGCAGCCGCCACGTGACCCAGAAAACGCGTCTCAGCCATGGAGTTGATCGTCGGGAGGGCAGGAGGGGGAACCCATGAAAGCGCCCTTCAGGTGAAACGGCCCCTCTGCTGAGGAGTCGCCACGGTGCCGACTTGCCCAGCGCTGCCCCCGACTCAGTCCTGGAGTCTGAGCCGTCGGTAGGAAAGCAGTCCTGGCCCGCTGCTTCAGGGGCAGCTAATGGTCTTAGCTCGGACTTTATGTGAGAGTCAATTTAATGGTGTGAAGTTAGAAGACCAACGGTACAGTTTTAGTGCCTCGAATAAACTATGAAAGGTCCCTGGATCTTGTTAAAGTAAAATCTCGTGAAATCGTGGTTTGCCACTCTGATGGGTCGGGCCGGCTCCGCGGGCCCTGCCCCCGTCCCGTCCACAGCCCCTGTGTGTGTCCGCCAGCAGGTGTGCACAGGACTAGCTGTGTCTTTGTGCAGTTAAACTTGCTCGTGTGTGTGTGGGGGGGCAGGTGTTGTAGCTGAGCGAGGGGGTGTCTGTGGGCACGTTGTCCTCAGGAGAGAGAAGGGAAACCAGGAGCGCAGGTAGGTGCAGAGTCATCTGGACGCAGACTTGCAGGAAGCCGGCTCCACCATCAGTCTCAACCTGCGACTCCCAGTGAGAGGTGTTCTTGGGAGCTGCTTTCTCCACCCCCAGCAGCCCCGGCTTCCGGTAACAGCACCGCGAGAAAACCGAGCCCCTTTAGGACTTCTGGGTCGTGGAGAAATTAGGAGAATAAAATGAGGATTTTGTTTCACAAACTTAGCCACGTGCCTGGGTTCTCTGAAGCCTACAGAGAGCAGGGGCACAGCTGAGGTGGGGCGAGGGCCCCCGGACGGCTGAGCCTTGGCATTTGCCCACAGCTCTAGTCCCAGTGTTGTGGGCCCGTCTCGTTGCGTCTGCCCCAAGTGTGGAGCCCAGGCAAGAAAGCTCAGAGCAGGTGCCCAGTTCCAGGTGGCTGAAGACCCTGCTGGGGGAGCCGAGACTGGGAGCCGGGAGCCGCCAGGGTTCAGGGCCCTGGGCACGGTGAGCCCCGGCAGTGGCGCCTCGCCCAGGACACCTGCTGGAGAGCGAGTAGCGTTGCAACCCGCCTACCTGTTCAGAGTCTTGAGTTTTGACAAGTTCCTTTCTTCTGTCTTCGCTTATTTACATACCAGCACATGCCGCCACCGTTTCGTCACGATGATAGCTGCGACATCGCGTTTATGTGGGGTTTAAACACAACTTTCTAATTTACGAAGGTTGCTAGGAAGTCACATTTGGAGAGACTGGCTATTACCATAGCCTGGAGATAGTAATGCAAGATTTTTAAAGATCAAGATAAGGTTATGATAAAGACATTTTGTGTCAACATCATCCTGTGGAAACCCTGGCAGTCCCCACCCCCGAAATTTTGGGATCGAATGGCGGAGGTGCAATAATGACGTGTTAGTTCCAGGGGTAATGGTGGGGTGTGGGTCAGAGCAGTATTTCTTAAGGACTAATGAGGAGTATGTGGTATTTCCCCTAAATCAATAGGAAATAAGATCATTTACTGTTTAAAGGAATTGGCACATAGGAATGGAAAAAATCATAATTGTTGGGGTTTTATGGCGGGCAAGGCATGAGAAAATACAGCTTTTAAGACAAGTTTATATATCTGAAAGCTACTCCTTAAAAACTTCCATCCAAAATCCACCCTAGCCCGCTGCCCTCTCATAATCACAAGACAACCGTGGTCTTCAGGGCGGCCTCAGAGGCGGGCAGCCTGTGTGTTTGCAGGGGGAAGGGGCTGCATTTCTGTTTTGTACTGCACCCCAGAAATGACAGAGCCAGTCCTGCGTGAACAAGAAAAATCACAGCAGCTCCACAGTGGACCTGGAGTCGTGGTCTCTCGCTTTAGTCTTAACTTTCTCCTTGGCCAGCAGGAACCTCAGACAAGGTGATGGCTGTGCTCTTTTAAACTACCTGCACTTGAGTCATTTTCCTTCCCTTTCCTTTTCCAGTCTTTCAAGGTGCTGGCAGGAGAGGGGAGCTGTATTCAACCCCAGGACTCATTTATTCAGATTTATTCAGTAGCCATTTAGAGCGCAGCCCTGTGTGTGAAGCCTGAGCTCGGGCTGGGTGGGGAAGTGCACGTGGAAGTGGGGCACTTGCTGGACAAAGGGGCGTTGCTCAGTGAGGCTGGGACAGCCAGAGGCGAGGGCAGCAGCCTCAACAGACAGGTGAGTTGTGAATTTACGCTTGGAGGGAGGAGTCCCCGGCTGGAGGGTGGCGGTAGGTGTCTGAACAGGGGAAGTGGGAGCAGGAAGGCCTCTTGAAGTGCGGTGAGCACTTTGAAGGCGGTGGAAGAAGGAAATGAGGCAAGAGGGTAGGTCCTGGACAACTGGGTGTGGCCCACGGAAGAGTCTGAACTTCAAAGTTTTAGGCAAGGGAATCAGGGGATCAAATTTCCTCTTCAAAAAGATTCCAGGGGTGAAGGCGGGAGGATGAGAGCCCCACAGGAAGACAGCCTGCAAATAGGGGCTTGTAGTCTGCCAAACCCTTGCACTCAGCTCAGCTCTTCTGCTTAAAAAAAGCGTCAAGTTTCACTGACAACAGGAATACAGGGGAAGCAACTAAGACATCAGTGTAACAAAATAATAATAACAGTACAAAACACGGCAAAGCAAAAACAGACAATTACAAACCAGAGACATCCTGCAGGGGAGGGAGGGAGGGGCACAGGGGACTGAGGTGATGGTGCACGGGCGCCTGGGGAAGGAAACTCTATGGGGTTTTCTATTGAGGAAACTCAATCTGAGGGGGTGGGGGGAGCCAAATATTGTCTAAACAAATTTTTAAAATGATAAATGTTAAAATGAAAACAAATAAATTATAACAATAAAATAAAATTCCTTTTGTAATTTGACAAACAAAAAAAAGGCAAGTTGTATTCTATTGCCCAGGCTATTTAAATGACCACAGGTTCGCTGCCACCTTCTCTCCTCTGGCACTAATCAGTCATTATTTTCAAAGTCACCCGCACTTATATTTAAGGAAAGTCCTGGAATCTTAATTTGGTGGTAAAATCTTAATGACACACCTTACAGCAAACAGTTTAGAAAGTACAAAATCCAGTCTGTGGCCAAACACTTGAGACTGGCGGGAGACCTATCACAAGTCAGGCTGCCTCTGCGCTTGGCTGACACGTCACGACGGTCACCGTGCCCAGCCTGTGGCAGGGGATACAGCCCACGCTCCTGGTCAAGTCCATGGGGGCTGCGGGGCGTGAGGTGGCACCTGTGGTAAAGCTGGCGGCAGGACACGGGGGGGAACAGCACCCAGGAGGAAACAGAGGTTGTGGGGAGCAGGTGAAACAGCCAGGCTGGAGCACAGGAGCACCCCGAGGGGGACAGCTTCCCACACAGAGCAGAGAACAGCAGCATGCAAAATTGCAAAGAGGGAAAGAAGAAAATCGCCAAAAGTCAAGAAAGAGAATTCTGGTTTGGGGCTTCGGAAGCATTTTACAGGTGAATCTGGAAGGGGCTGCAGAATGGGCTGCAGCAAGGGGCAGGCAAAGCCGGGAGCGCTGACCTGTGGTGTGGACGGTCCCCCGCAGCCCAGGAGGCCAGGCCACGGTGCGAGGGGGAGTGGGGGGCTGGGAGCACCACAACCGTGAAGGAAGAACCACCAAGACGCCGTTTGACTTGGAGAGCAGGACCGGGAAGCCTCAGCTGGTGCGAGGAGAAGCTGACGGAAAGTAGAAGTGTGGTGGACAGAACCAACCGGCCGCCGAACCCTGTGCTCAGGCCGCCATAACAGGAGCCCATCCTATCTATTTCTGTCGTAAGTTCGAATATTTAGAAAACAAGAAAACGCTGGCTCACAATGAACCAGGCCTCGCTGAGTTATGTTGTCGACCGCACTTGCGCCCTTCAGATAAGCACAGAAGGGCCGCCCTGCTTCACAGTCAGCCTCCAGACAGAAGACAGCATGGCGCTGCTCCTGATTCCCTCTGCCCTGGGCTAAAGCCTCTGCTCCCTCCCTTGGACCTGGTTGTGGGTTCCCGAACCACCCTCGGAGTTCTTACCTGTTCTATGTCAGTTTATCCCTGCCTTGAATGTTGGTCACCACAGAGCACAGCAAGTCTGAACACAGCTCCATTAGCAGGTGAAATTTTACTTGTTTTTTCTGCTGTGGGGTTATATTAGAATTTTAGGAAATAGAAACCCCCAAAGATAATAAAGTGGTATTATAATGATCAGACTTGCTAAGAGACTAGATCTTAATTATAGCAACTGAAAAAGAAATAATTATGTGATGTGATGGAGGTGCTAATTATCACTACAATGGCAGTCATATTATAATAGATAAATGGATCCTATCAACATGTCATATACCTTAAATTTACACAGTGTTATATGGCAATAAAAATGTGTCAATACACAATGTTATATTTCAATTTTAAAAAAAGAAAGCACCAAGATCTTTTTCATGTGAAATGAGTCATTGTCCCTAATCCCATAGTTTTTATTTTTTATCTTGAACTCAGAATTTTATAGTTACCCCTATTTAATCTCAATGTTAGTGTTGATCTGTTGTTTCAAAACCTTAAAGTCCTTAGAAATTTGTTCGAAATTCCTTGGTATTAGCTCCAGTGGGAG